TCGTATGTCAGGGATTCTACACATTTTGTGGAATCGGTAAAAGGTGTAAAGCTGGATGCTGGGGATATGTTGGTAAGTTACGATGTGGAATCCCTTTTTACTAGGGTACCAGTTAAGGATGCTGTAGAGGGTCTTCGCCGAAAACTCATTCCGGAGGGTTTACCAGGATACGTGCCAGATCTGGTGGAGTATTGCTTATCGTCGACGTATTTCAGCTGGAAAGGAGAATTTTACGAGCAGTTCGAAGGGGCAGCCATGGGATCTCCACTATCGCCAGTTATAGCTAATTTCTACATGGAATTATTCGAAGAGGACGCTTTGAAGAAGAGCCAGTGGAAACCAAAACTATGGCTCCGATATGTGGATGACACGTTTGTGGTATGGCAACATGGTCAAAAACGGCTCCAAGAGTTCTTGGATCACTTGAACTCTCAACATCCTATGATTAAGTTCACCATGGAAACAGAAACTGCCAAAAAACTACCTTTTCTAGATGTGTTGGTCACCAGGACGACAAATGGAGATATAGAACTTGATGTATACCGAAAGAAGACCCATACCAACAGGTATTTACAGGCATGTTCACATCATCATCCCCAACAGAAGAGGTCCGTGATCCGTACATTATTTCAGCGAGACTATGTGAAGGAGAGAACTTGAAGAAGGAGCAACATTTTCTACGAGGCGTGCTGCAGAAGAATGGATACACTTCGAGGGATGTCCCTCGAAGTGTATCCATCGATCGCAGTACGATCGCCTGGTGTATCCAACCAGGCCATCAAGCAGCGAAAGCAGAAAGAGGACACGGTAAGTACAAAACCACTTGGATTTATCTGTCTTCCCTATGTTTCAGGTGTAACGGAACAATTGCTAGGCACCTCAAGAAGAACGACATCGTAGTGCGGTACGGCACGGTCAGCAAAATTCGGAACACACTCCCGATAGCCAAGGACAAACTACCTCCATTAAAAGGAGCAGGAGTCTACCGACTATCGTGTAGTTGTGGAAAGGTTTATGTTGGCCAAACTGGACGCAACGTCGAGTGCCGCATCAAGGAGCATGAGAGGGATGTAAGGCTGAAGAAGATCCAGCAGTCGGCGGTTGCGGAACATTGCCATGCAGAGGGGCACCGAATAGACTTCGAACAAACAAAGGTGCTGGCTAGGGACAACAGATACTACCAAAGACTGACAAGAGAAGCCATAGAGATTCACCGACATAAAAATAACGTCAACAGAGAGGATGGCTGGGAGCTTAGCAGAACATGGAAGATGGTGGTGAACACGAAGACCTCTTCCCGCCTCACACCGGACGCGACGCAATTAGTTATTAATTAGTTTGTAATTAGCGTTAACTGATTATTAATTAGTTTTTCCGACTTATATATAGTTACCGATTTTTTGATCTCGTCACTTCGAACCAGTTTCTGAAGAAGGTTGCAACATGGCATCCGAAACGTCAAACCTTTTATTAAAAGACGCACGGCAAAACCCGAAAGTTTCTAGTTTTAGTTCTAATCTTAGTTTAAGAAATTTATTTCATTTTATGAATAACTAATCTTTGGTAAATAATATAATTTTCAAGTCATTTTATAAAATTGCACTAATAACTTTTCCTGATATTTCTGAGATGGCGCTGAATCGCGGCTAAAAGAAAAGATTCTTTCTCCAAAGGAGCCATCTTTCTTATCTCTGGGTCAACGCAAGTTTTAACTTGGTTGAACTTCAACAAAGCATGTTCGATGCGTGAGCTTTTTTCCAGGATAAATAAAAACCTCATATTTAATCGGTACTGATTTCCAATTTTCTTTAAATATAGTCATCGTCAGCCTCAAATTCATTATAAACTTAAAATGGCGTCACATCTATACTTTTTTGCATTATTACATCGTTAAGAATTGATCTGAATTTCCGTTTTTTGTATTAAAATGAAGTGGCGTTTACAGTTACCTAATCGCGTAAATCTCGGCCTGGCCGATGCCCGTCCGAGCGTTAAATCCAATTTGTAGGCGCTCGGCGTTTCTTACCTCTACACACCACCTACCTCCTCCTGCCCCCCACCTTTTCTCTCTTTTTCACCACGATCGCGTCCGTTGTCCCTTTCGTGTTTATTCATCGGATCGTGATTTTAATAAACCGGGCTATTCAAAAACCTAATCTTTTTTCCTTTATCATTATCATCTCACCTTCTTTATTATAATTCATTCTTTTCATTTCAATAGATAACTTTTATTCTTTTTATATATTTTTTTACGGGATTTTTATTATAAAAAGGGGTTTGGTGTTCAAACGTTGCCCATTCAATTACCGGTAAATTTATTCTTGAGTATTCATCTGACGAAAGCATAAACTTTACGCACGCATGTAAAACCGCTGCGCGACGACCTCTTCTCCGCAAAGAGATATACAGGGCGATTAGACTAGACAAGACCGAGAATGTGTGCGTTTGTGTCGACGGACGGTGGTTTGTCGTCGCGGCACCACAAGACAAGGTCGTATATTTCGACCGGTTGCAGTTGTTGGCTACAAACGAGGGAGCTACTAACACGAATTTATTACTTGACTTTTGTTCTAACTTGGACTTTATATCTCGAAACACTTTTTTATTGAAAGTAATAATAATAAATTACCTAATATACTTTATAAATTGACCGTGAGCATTAATTTATATGATCTAAAATTGTCTCTCTAATCTCGAGAGGCGCGCGTACTACGCGGAAGATCGTTTTAAAGGAGAAGTTCGCGAACGTGCTTTTTAATTAACTCTCCCGGGACGAGATCTTATCCGAATGCGGTTTTACCATTAATAAGCGCGCGGCGATCGATTCAAATTAAAAAAGAAAAACGCTAACTGACCATCGATTTCCACTGATCGGACGACACACCATATTTGGAACCGAAAAGTTAAAAAAGAAAAGGTAAAGGTTAGCGCCCAAGTCGGATTCCAATTAAATTAAATCGTACCTATCACAACAAACTTTCTTTTACATTAAAATTTTATATCAAAAAGTTGATTTTTACAAAAAAAAAAGGGAATTGCAGCTAATATAATGCAGCTTTAAATATGGTATATGTTAAGCATCATTCAACAATCCAAGTCTATAGACTTCTAGGATTTTACGAATTGAGTACCCGTTGTACTCTCGCTAGCAGATGGTAAGTTAAGAAAGTAAGAGAGTTAAGGAAAAGATACATCAGCACAATTATAGTGTTATAGAATGAGCGAGTTGAATACCATAACCTTCAACTTTCTCTAAATGTAATATTAGGTGTGTAAATTGAGTAATGAGGCCATTTTGTTCAATTTTTGTATTTGAATAGACAAAAAATCATTTTGAAGCATTTCGTAGCAATTCTAGTAGCTGTTATTCAGCTGGATGGACACAGCAGTTTTAATGGAAACACGAACTTTAAAGTCAGATGAGACGAGGAAGAGCTAAAGGAATATGTTTGAAATAGTAACTTTTGTTGAAGTGATAACTACACATTATTCTTGTATCGGCCCAATATATCTTGTGCAACTTTGTACAATCTTATCTAACTTTGTCATTTATGATACAAAAATGAAGATAATAAAGTTGATGAGGATAATGTTTATGCGAGTTAGGGTTTTCTTGAAATATTGTCCTCTAATTGATCTTTGTTGGGCAATAAAGTTAATTATTACTATTACCATCACGGCTATAGGTATTAATACAGCTTCATTTCAGGTTGACTTTGATTTCCCCACAATTTTACTGGCCATTGTTGTGATCATTAATATTTATATGTATAACAATGGACTTGATAATCTTACTTCAGTAGGACTAAAGTTTCGGCATAAATTGTAAAACCTCAAATGTGTCAATTTCGTCAAACAAAGAAAAGCATACAAGAAAATGTTGGAAATCCCTCGTTCAGACAGAAAGCTTTTTCACAATTTTTTTTATTATCCCAGGATTCACCTTGAATAGAAACACCATTAAAAACGTACAAAATGTGTTACATATTGCTCACTCGCATTTATTTATGACTGTTGAATTAGTAATAAAGTGTTAAGTTATTCAACAATTAGCACTTTAAGAAGAAAGTGCCGCCCTAAAACTTATAATCTAAAACACCAGTTCCTCTAATCGTTTGAAACAGCTCGGATTAACTCCAGATGCTAAAACATATTACATGGAGAACATTTAAACAAACCTATTAGACGAAAAATGATATACATACAGTGAATTTCGCTTAAGATATGTATATACAAAAACATATTTTCATAGAAACCAGGACGTACTAACTTACTTTGTCCCATATAAAATACAACACGTCAATATAATTTCACATTACAGTTAAACCTCGATATAACGGATCAATACGGGGAACGCAGTGTCCGTTATAACTCAATAAAAATATACAACAATCTAGCGCTGAATAACAAATAAAACTATACTAGTAGTAGAACTAACACTAGACCTAGAATTAGAAACATTCCGTTTAGTCGTACGTCTCTTAAGACGGCTAAACCTAAATGTTTCTAGTTTTAGGTCTAATGTTAGTTCTAATTTTACAGTAGCACTATCACTAGAACTACCACAAGACCTAACACTAGAATCATTCGGGGTTAGCCGTCTTGAGAGACGTGCGGCTAAACCCGAATGTTTCTAGTTCTAAGTCTAATGTTTGTTCTAGTGACAGTGATAGGTAGTGCTAGTTAGTTTATCATTCGGGTTTAGCCGTCTTGAGAGACGTGCGGCTAAATCCGAATGTTTCTAGTTCTATGTCTAATGTTTGTTCTAGTGACAGTGATAGGTAGTGCTAGTTAGCATAAAATATCACTATGTTGCATATTTTTATTGCGTTAAAACTAGAACCAGCACTAGATCTAAAACTAGAAACATTCGGGTTTAGCCGTGCGTCTTCAGACAAGGTAGCTCTTGTTAGCATAAGATATCACTATGTTGCATATTTTTATTGCACTATTACTATACTCTGTTTTTAAACCAGGAGGAGTAAACGCAAAAGTCAAATTTACACTAGGAAAAATCACCAGAAAGTATCACTAGATATTTTGGCGGTAAATTTAAATTAATAATTACTATTATTTATTTATTTACTTATTATTGTATTTATTTTCGTTTGTTATCGTCAACACTAAACATACAAATTAATATTGAGGTTAAGAGTGTATCAATTGAAGACGCAAAAGGGTTTAAACAAAATTTACAACAATGACACGAAACTGTCGAATTATCAATAACCTAACCTTCAAATTCAAAATCAAAATTCAAAATTGCCTGTGTGTGAACCTTCCTCGCATTCAACCAATCACGTGCAAGGTCAATCTGAAATTCAAAATCAAAATTCAAAATTGCCTGTGTGTGAACCTTCCTCGCATTCAACCAATCACGTGCAAGGTTAATCTGGTGACAAATTTAAAATACTCCTCCTGGTTTAAAAACAGAGTATAGAACTAACACAAGACCTAGAACTGGAATCATTCGGGTTTAGCCGTGCGTTTTCAGACAAGGTAGCGCTAGTTAGCATATGATGTCACTATGTTGCATATATTAGCTGTGTTTGGTACACTTGCTATAAATACTCCTAGTGTAGCAAGTGTAGTGCAGTTGACAACTCTCAGTTTTCAACACATTTTCAAAGTGCATAAGTGTAACAATTTTAGGTGTTTGGTAAAACGGATTATTATGACAGTTATAGGTTACGTAATCTTTATTATTTCTGTAGGAAGTTGAATAATTTATTATTGATCAAAGAATCAAGATGAATAAATCAAAAAAGGAAATGTTGCCTGTAGTGACCCTATTAAAGTCTGACACCGAAAGTGAAGACAATGATATGATTTTTGAAGAATTGGACAGCGATGATGAAGAAAATGTATTTTTACTTTTAAGTAAAAAAGATAAAAGAACTTGCATCGATAAATACTTTGACGATGTAGTTCCCAAATATTCTGATGTACAGTTTAAAAAATCTTACTTACTCTCTATGTTTTGTGCCAATACTTGGCTACCCTCATCACTTTTTACATATTTTCCCCCTTCATCATAAATTATTTTTACATTTAACTGTCTTTCAATTTTAGCCATTATATTTAACCGGAGAACTTCCTATTGGGTTTTTAATTTTAATTGAATAGAACGTTTTCTACAAATCAAACTGTTATTTATTGTTTTTACTAGCTTACAATATTTTATTTTTGTTTAAATAAATCTAACTTTGACACTTTCAAAAAACTAAATACGTCTTAAAAGTTATGTCGACTTAAGCTTTGTTCGTTGGGACTGCACTACTCTGCACGATATGGCACTCGTATGACGTCATAGTGCAATGAAGTGTAAGTCAGTGCAATGTCATGTCAACTTAGTGCAGGTCAGAAAAGTGTATAAACCGTGGTCTCAACGAACAGATTTTTATAAAAAAAGTGTATAATATTTGAAATGGACGAACAGGAGATTGTCAGCGAAATACTAGTGGAAAATGAAATTATCGCAGAATGTTTTTTTAGTAGCGTTTTTTAGTATTCATCAATTATTATTATTTTTTATTTTTTTCAATTATTAGTGACATATATTTTCTATACCAAACTACTAACCCTTATTAGTTCTTTCAAAAGTACTACTTAACGTATAAAGAAACCACAAAAAAAAATTCAAATATTCCGCCATTTTAGTTACACTGCACTTATTGAACTTAATCGAAAGCAGGTGCAACAAAATCTGCACTAACTTGCACCGGCTGCACTACATTGCACTGCACCTGGCCCAACGAACAGTATGAGTGCAACTGCACTATCTCCAACGAACACACAACATCTGCACTAAACTGCATAGTGCAAGTGAGTGCAAGTAGTGCAGTCCCAACGAACAAAGCTTTACACTACACTTCCTACACTTGCCGGCGAGTCGGTGTAAAAAGTGTCTGCACTTTTAAAACTCAATCGCTTACCAAACGCGGCGCCACTATCTACACTTGTTTGCACCAGTCTACCAAACACTATTTTTAAGAAAAAGTGTGCACTGGTGTACGTAAGATACCAAACAAAGCTTTTAATTGTATTAAAACTAGAACTAACACTAGACCTAGAACTAGAATTATTCGGGTTTAGCCGTCTTGAGAGACGTGCGGCTAAATAACTCAGGATTATAACAAGGACGTTACTTTTTTCCAAGCAAAATTTTTCCTTTGCAAAACTACCCAATACCTGTACCAGTAAGCTATGCTGCATTTTATGTGGGACAGTGCAAGTGCATAGTAGTTTCGTAATATGGTTACTGCATTCATATGTATATTGTGAGTTATATGAAATTCCCGGTATAGCCACAACATCTAAAAGAAATAAATTATCAAGACGAGTAAGACCAACTTGAGATATTTCTTATTTACATTTTTATTTAAATTCCGCAATAATTTCTAACCGACAGTGTACACAAAAAGTGATGATAATAAATATACATGGAATGGAAAAAAGAGTACTGAAACATTGTTGGTTTGATGGTTAATAGGAGTGTGTGTAGGGGGGAAAACGGTCGTTAGCCCACATATGTGACCTTACAGTTTTATTAACGGCGGGGTCACGCTCACAAGCTCGACCCATCTATACACACACACATACACACAAACTCGGGGTACAACACATAGGTACGTACAGAGTGTGTACCCACCGGTCTCGCGGTCGTTTCGAACACAATTGCGCCGGAATGTGCCCAAGGCGTGGCCTATACGCGATCGTACAGAACCTTCTATACAATTTTAAATGTACATAAAAACTAATTTTTAACTAAGTAAATTATAATTGATTAGGATTTTCAACACAAAACTTTCATTGTAATAACTTATACGATTACCGTTTTAATTTCAAAACTAAAAAAGTTCCCTCTCGAACGCACCTCGTCCGCCCACGCAATTCTCCTTAACTGGTTTTGAAATCAAATCGTTCCCGCGAGGTTAAACGATAACATTTATCAAAAACGAATGGAAGATGATCCCCATGCACCATTATTTAAAAATGGGCGTTAGCTGTGTAGCGGTTTTATAGGAAACGTTTTTTTATTTATAAGTTGTTACGATTCCATGATAATACGGCTTCGAGGCGCTGCGAAATTAGATCGGCCGTTGAGCGCCCTCTGATGAGAACGGGGCCAATTACGGCAGGCGAAGTGAAGGCAAAACGGGGATTGCCCGTTTGTTCTATGCAAATCCGTTCATTACGACCGGCGCAGTCGATTTCATTTCTAGTTTCTCGTTTCATAATCACCTACTCAAATGGTTAATCATAAAAACACTCAAAAAGAAAGATTATTTTAATTAGTTTGTTCAGTTCAGTACTTATAAACTGTATCGTTTGAAAATAAAAAAAATTAATAAAGAGTTAAATCAAACATAAATTGTTGTAACCCTTGTAACCCCATGATTAATCCACAATATCCGTATGATTTAGACCTAACCATTTAAGTATCTCTCACGACAAGCAACATCTCTTTGCGTTCGTTGAATAGCGCGCCCCAAATGGGGTAATTCCGTTGCTTAATGGAAATTTTGATTGGATAACGCCGTCGCGGCACGTTGGGCAATTGAGCCCGAAACAGGTGTTGCGCACATCCAGATTAAAACCTACCGCTTCATTAAAATTAATCACAATCTCTCTTTTTATCACATTTTCTTCATTTCATTACCTTATTATCATTTAAAATTTTCTCTTAAAGTAGTAAATCGAGTGAAAACTTACCGGGCATACAAACACATCGAAACGTTCCTGGGTCGTCCAGACAAGAACCCTGGTTTTTGCAAGGATGTGAATCGCATTCGTTAACGTTTGTTTCGCATCTTGGTCCGGTGAAACCTTGAGTACAGTTGCAAGCGAAACTACCGGGGGTGTTAACGCATAAGCCATCATGTTCGCAGGGAGAGCCTATAAATTGAATATTAATGTAATTTATTAATCTATTATAATATTAGCTAGTTATTTGAATATTTTCTGTTTCGTGTAGATTTTTTTCTACAACAATAGCATCAGTTGGAACCTTATTGTGTACATACAAGAATGACGACCGATCGAAAGTCAATTAATACTGAGAGGCGTGCTAATTAAAGAAGCGACCAACCGAGTGAACAATAGGATTGGAATCCCTATTCTTAAGTGGAGATATTGAGGCGATTAAATGAGTGGATGGAAAAAAGGTAAAGAGAAGATAATAATTTAAAAAATATACAGGGTGTCCCGCAACGATTGTACAATACTGCATCAGCGTATTCTCTGATCGAAAACAGACAAGAAAAGTCTAATAAACATAGGTCCAAAAATGGATCAATTTCGAGATATTCAAACTTTTAGTTTCATAAGCTGACCTATTGTAAACATCATTAATTCTAACGATTTAGATGCAGTAATTATATGATTACCATGGTTACGATGGTTAAGATAAAGTTTAATAAATAATAAGATAATATTAAGTTAATTAATACAGTTCATTAATAATTTAACAAAACAAGTAACAAAGATTGTCGAAGAAAATCGTTCAACCAGCATAAAAACAACGAATATTTAACAAATTGGAAAAGATTCATGTCATAATAAATGTTCAATATGCGCACCATTTACTTCTAAACACAAACGGATACGTTTTCTAAATGAACTTCTAATGCGTTCAAAGATACCAGGAATTTGTTTTACTGTGTCAAATGCGTTACTAATTTTATTCTTCAAATCCTGCACATTTTGAACGTCTTCAGAATAAACAATTTGTTTTAAATGTCCCCAAAACCAAAAATCTAACGGATTTAAATCTGGTGAACGAGGTGGCCCTCCTCGGCCAATCCACTTATTGCCAAATCTGTTATTTAAGTATGCTCGAGTAGCGCGTGCATAATCGTGCATAAAGTAGCAATCTTCTAGAATTTGTTGAGGTAATTCATCAAATGCCTCTGTAAGGTCATTTTGTAAAAAATGTATGTAGGCATCGGCTGTCAATCTCTTTGGAAGAAAAAATGGACCTAATAACTGATCACCTATAACTCCAGCCCATACATTAACACTGAATCGCCACTGATGATGAGTTTCTAGTATTGCATGGGGATTTTCATCGCTCCAAACGTGCGCATTATGAATATTAAAAATTCCGCTTTGAGTAAATGTTGCTTCATCCGTAAATACAATGTTTATGGGAAAGTCGACGTTTACTACCTCTTCCTGTATGGCCCACCTACAAAAAATCTCTCTTTTTTCGCCATCATTTTCTGTTAGAGCTTGAACGGTGTTGTAATGATAAGGATAAAGCAACTGCTCCCTTAAAATGCGGTGAACGGTTGTTTTGTTAATGTTTTCTTGTGCAGAAATTCTTCTAATGCTGGTTGAGGCATTTTCATCGACTCTTCTCAAAACTGCTTCTTCTAATTCCACCGGCCTTGTGTAATGTCTCTCCGTGGAATGGCTGTGGGTTACGCTTCCCGTTTCTTTTAATCTGAGAAATAGTCTGCTAAAGGTGTGACTATTAGGCAATCGTCTGTTCGGGAACCTTTGCGCGTAATGACGAGCTGCTAACGACGCATTTCCATCAGCTAGTCCGTAACAATACACCATATCCGCCATCTCTTCCTTGGAGTAATTAATAGGAGCCATACTTAATAGTTTTATTAAATTAAATAGTAAAATAATAATTTCGTGAAGTATTATTATTTTTTTTTGATTAGACAACTTATCGTAATCATAGTAACGACTTAATTATTATAAAAACAAATTTAAATTCATGATGTTAACAATATCACCATATATAACTTATGAAACTAAATCTTTGAATATCTCGAAAATGGTCCATTTTCGGACCTATGTTTATTAGGCTTTTTTTGTTTATTTTTGATTATAGAATACGCTTATGCAGTTTTGTACAATCGTTGCGGGACACCTGTATAACATTTATTTAATATTTTCTGATACTGTGACAACAAGGTGCCAAGCTAAACAAAAAAGTGTAAAATTGTAAATAATTATAGTCTCCTTGTTAAAGTTAATTACGAGTAAAAATGGAAATTTTTAGTAAATTTCGGGTTCGTAACACTTAAAACCGTCCAGGATCTTGCTTAATTACCATAATCAAAAAGCTAAGCAACAATCCAAAAGGTCGTTTTCGAAGATTCGCAATGACTTGACAAGATCCAACTTTAAACCGAGGAAACCTTAAACTCTAACGACTACCGTTCGTTCCCATGGAACAAGACGTTAATTATTGTTATTCATTCATCCGATCTCTAAGAACAAATCGATTTGCATGATTTAACTGACGACCGCCCGGATTTACATTTCTTCACCAAGGAAAATGCATAGAAACAAATATGTCTATATGTAGATATTAGATCATACGACAAACAACAAAGACGTTTATGACTCAGATCGGTATTGAATCAAACGGTATGATTTAAAAAAAAATAGAAATGGTGGTCGTGAGTAAACTGTAAAAAAAACCATAACCAAACCGAATCGAACAAACTATAGTCAATCTGTTTTTTTCTCATAGCGATCCCATAAAAAAAGATACATACCTTGTTCGCACTCGTCTATGTCCTCAGAACAATCGGTTCCTTTGTATCCGGACGCACAGCTGCAGGTGTACGACCCGTTGATGGGGCTGGTGTCGCAAATCGCGTCCGCGTGACAAGGACTGCTTGTACATGCGTCATCCAAATGGCACAATAATCCTAAAAAATATAAAAAATAATAAGAGATTGTAAATAGGTTATGAAATGGTTCAACTTTTGCTTAACGTTAAATAACTTTATTTAAGAAAAAAATAAATTAAATCATTTTCATATGAACAACTAAAGTTGAGTAAAATTTGTTTAATATTAATTTTACACTCAAGCAATCACACCAAGTTCCGTGACTTTTAAAAGTTGAAAAGTACGAAGAACGTGTTGAATAATAATTTTAAGACTTCGTCTCACAATAACTTTCGTTAAAACTCAAATGGTAAGCACCATGAACACCAGGATCTTTAACCGGCGAGACGATAGCAACAAACTTTTTCCTTTATATTTCCACCTACTTCTAGGGCCCATATCTTCGTTATCTAGAAAGATAGCGAAAAACTAAGCACACAGTTGGAAAGCTTGGTCTTTTCTCTATCATAAACCGAGTTTTCGTCCGCCGATATGTTGATAATAAGAGCAAGAAAAAATAAGAAACGTCGAGCTGCATTCAATTTACCTCAGAATTACCAAACTTCACGGCCTTGTGCAGCCGTTACCAGATGGAAATTCAATAAATGGTTTACATATTCGGAAAGAGCTGACCTTGGACTATCTTATTCCGAGTTTTCGTCCGCCAATATCTATCAGCGTCTGTAAGAAAAACCCACCTGAAAAAACCCCTACCGATAAAAACACGCAAATATTTCTTGCACTAATAACTTTCCTATTTGACAGGGAGAAAACTGTACAACTATATTCAGCTTATGGAAAATTTCCTGCTCTTTCCAACGATGTGTGACACACTGTGATCACACGTTTGCACAATCCTTTTTTCTGACTATGAACTACCTAAACCACGAATTTTTGCCGCGGCTAAACCACGCTTAGGTCAATAACTAACTCTCTTGTATAACGGGGAGAAAACTCTAGAACTATATTCATCTTATGGGAAATTTTCTGCTCTTTCCAACGGTTCCAACGCGTTTTTTAAATTGATGGACTGAGTTAAAATGCAAAGTTGGTAACGTTACCAGATTCAAAACCATCAACACACAATTCAACAATTCGAGTCTAAAATCACTCAAATTCTTCCAGATTCTGATAAAATAGGTGTAACATGAAATAATCTTTCCTTTTTGAACAGTTTAACATGTTTCTAAACGTAAAACTAAAACTAGAACTAACACTAGCACTATCACTAGGACTAACACTAGACCTAGAACTAGAAACTTTCGGGTTCGCTTCCAACTTGTTTTCTGAAGAAGGTTGCAACATGGCACCCGAAACGTCAAAAATTTTTTCAAAAAACGCACGGCTCAACCCGAAAGTTTCTAGTTCTAGGTCTAGTGTTAGTTGTAGTGATAGTGCTAGTGCTAGTGTTAGTTTTAGTTTTATTAACACCGGCCGTGAAACCCTTCGCACTTATATGTTTTTAAACGGTTTTAAATAAATTAAGAGTGAATGAAAAATTATCTGTCAACATGAAATGAAGTTAGGATTCTCTCTCGGGTAAAACTTTGTTCCAATTTTTCTCGAAAACTCGAAAACTCGGTTTAAGATAGAGAAAAGACCAAGCTTTCCAACCGTGTGCTTAGTTTTTTGCTATCTTTCTAAATAACAAAGATATGGGCCCTAGAAGTAGATGGAAATATAAAGGAAAAAGTTTGTTGCTGGGCGATTTGTTGCTATCGTCTCGCCGGTGGATCTTTAGAAGAATACAGTGCTTTAATTCTTGAATTCTTTCTAATATTTTTTAGTAATCAAGTTTAAAAATAATAATTTTTACCTGTTTTTCCTGGTGTACATCTACAATAAAAGCTTCCGACCCTATCGATACAAGTAGCCCCGTTAAAACATGCCGCTCCAGCGCAATCGTCAATGTTCCCGGAACAATCCGGACCCGTCCAGCCGTTCACACAGATGCACGAATAACCCCCGACACTGTTGGTGCACGTGGCCCCGTTTTGGCATACGCTCGGCCTGAGGGAGCACTCGTCAACGTCATGTTCGCAGAAGCGTCCCGTGTAGGTCGCCGGACACTGGCAGCTGTAATCGTTTAAACCGTCCACGCAGGTTGCCCCGTTCTGACATTTATGCCCAGGACAGTCGTCGATGTTCTCTTCGCAGTCGTGACCACGAAAACCTAGATAGAACATTTAAAAAGTAAAAGTTAAACCAAAAAAAAATCTTTCAAAAAGATAATTTGTAATTTTTAGATAATTTTTTCTTAAAAGTAAACAATATTAAAAGAAATTGCTGGTTATAACGGGATCGGTTGTCTTTCGGTGATGGAAAAAATAAGGGTAATTGGCCGCTGTGTCGGCTTTCTTTTCGGTCCCGATTATAACATAGGCGTACGCAATTTTTCTTCATCGTTGGTCTCAATTAGCTTTACGAGTTTTTTTGTAGTTTAATATGGTGGAACTGTAATTATTTAATTACGGCTCTCTTTCCTCTCTCTTATTTGCACAGCATTATCAAAAAAGTGCTTTAATAAAATAAATTGGCCCCCATAAAAATTTATGTTATATATAATTACATTGTAATTAGTAAAGTACAAAAAAAAATTTTATCAATTTAATAAGGTTCACTCTGTATAAACAAATTCTTCGGTGTACAAATTGTTTATTTGTTGTAAACGTATAATTAAGTAGAATTCCGAGTACATAGTAGAGGAACGGGCCCCGCCGTTTGTCGATAGGGCCTCGGCAGTCGCCGATACAGTTGGGGCACATCTGGTTTCCCACGGTATTTGTATCTCGACCCACGCCTGTGGCGTATCGTCGTCGTCGACGCGCTCAGCCTCTTCTTCGTCTATCCACTCTCTATCTGCTCAGCCATTCCAACAGATATGTTATTGCTAACTTAGCGGTACGCATTTCCGGCGAAAAAAATAATTATAAATAAAAATAAACCGTTTCTACTATCCAAAAACGATGATCTCAAGTGAAGGAGAGTAAATATTTATCACATCTTGAATACTTCCTAGCTTAAACAGGTTTTTTTTTACAAGGTGTTTAAAAAATTATATCAAACAAATTATCTACTGACTAAAAGATAGTTCAGCCTTCTCCATATCCAATTATTCTTTATTTATTAGACCAAAGAATGTCCTCAATATTTTTCTTACAAATACTTCAAGTGTACTCTTTCCATTCTCTGTCATAATCCATGTCTCGCATCCATAGCATACTATTGGTCTAATGAAGGTTTTATAGACTCTAATTTTTGAGTGTATTCTAATTTGTATTTCTGATTCCTCCGATCCTTTTGTGTTGAGTTTGACTCCCAGATACGTAAAGAAACTTGTCACTTCTTCAAAATTTACACATTCTTGGTATAACTGTTCTCCAATATTTAAGATATCCTCTCCTCTGCGATAGCTTCAGACGTTACGTCTGATTGCTTTAAAGACTTCTTTCTTTTTTGCTTTCAGCTCGGTGTTAGTTATTTCTTTTCATTTCATTTCGTTCCAAAACCAAATTTGTTGTGTTGTGACACATACAGTTATATTTTATATTTTAATTTGTGCCATATCTTTATCAATCTGCCAGTTCTAAAGTAGTTCAATACTGTCCTTTATAAGTCCTTTATGATGCATCGTTTGTTGTAACAGGAAGCCCAACAGACCAGACATATTTTTGGACCTATTTTCGCATCAAAAATAGGAGAGTGAAGCATACTTAGAAGCAAATTTCATAACTGGAGCTATTTAAATAAGTACAAATTAACACTATTTCTAAGAAGCCTTCAACCATAACTAGAAGTATCACGTAACATAAACTTGTTTAGTACTTCAAATATTCTTATTTAAGCTTTTGTTTTCTTTTCAATGTTTGTTTTTATTTGTTACAAAGGGTGTGAGAGAGACAAAAAATGATTAAAATACAGAGGGTAAAAATCTATGTTGGGTTCGTAAAACAAATCGTGGTACCCCGAGGTGGTTCTCCGGCTTCGGTCACTTCGAGGGAACCGACCAACAACAACCTGTTATTCTCGTATAGTCGTTCCGCCCGCGAGGCAAACGCCATCTATTAGCCGAACCCCCCGCGCTTTGTAATTATCGCGTCCCGGCTAAGATGAAATAAGAAGAAATCGATGAATTATAACGGCCGCGACCGTATATAGAAAATACCTTGATTTCACCCAAAGAAACCAACACCGGTAGCTGCGCCGACTTTCAAACTTGCCAACAACTCATTAAGAACTCGATGATAGATAATAATAATATCGCTTAATCCTTTAACTAGCTTTTACGTTATTTCTCCTACTTATATTGTTAGTTTTTTGAGTTGAATCGCGGTTAACTCTAGTACTAGAAGTCGGTATTGTTTTTTAGGCTCTTTCTTTTATATGTTTGTACCATATGTATACATAGATGTAGCTGGTCAACGAACTGGCTACACAAAGAAGGCCGTGCCATTACTCTCTAGTTGGCTAGATGATAATGATGATGATGATGGGTGGAGAATACAGGATAAAAATACAGAGATGGACAAAAGTTGTTTAAATTAATGTTTTTTTGACAATTAGTTGCCCTCGGATTACTTTTCTATCTCTATCAATCAAAGCAAACTTTTAAAAGAGAAAACTAGCAGAAAAACAGAAAGGAAAATAAATTGACAACAGCCAAAACCATAAACAGTTTTAAATACTGGGCTGGTGGAGCCACGTGGTATTCATCTGTCAGGGAGCAGCAACAAGTGGCCTCCCGCTGACTACACTCTTCCACTTTCTTCTTCTTCTACTCCTCAACTCGACGGTCGTCTCGTTTCTCGGTTCGCCAGAAAGCCCGCGGGCGTAGCAGATCTGTGGGAAGAAGTACGCTCGTTTCCCCCCTTTTTCTTCGAAAGACCCCCTTTTCCCCCTACTTTACCATTAATTCACTCGGCTATATTCGCAGCCTGTTCCACAGACATTATTCAGAACGAGAATTCGTCGAGTGGTAACGGTTAAAATGTATAAAATTTCAGCGTTTTGGAGGATTAAGAACGAAATAAAGAAATGTAAGCGTCCCGGACGAGTTTTGGAATTAAGGAGAATTTTTTTTTTCTTAAAATGTTTACTCAGAAATTGTATGGTTAAAAAAATGTTGCGTTTGAGTTGGTCGTAAAGAGGTACTTGACATTGTCTTATCGTATCCTCTCGTTGAAGAGTTTCTCAATTACAAGGACCGACTCTTGTTTAAGTGTATAGTGAAAGAGGAACAAACAGGGTTTATTTAACGACCATTAAGTTATGTTTGAGTAAGACAACATTTTTTCTAAAATAAGTTTACAATATTAATTTCGTCAATAGAACAGAAAAAATCTTTATCCTATTACAAAGTAAATACGAAACACTTGTTACAAAATTCAAATTAACAAACACAAGATTCTTCTCATCACGATCCGTCAAAAAAAAAAGAAAGAAAAAACACTGACAGAATAGAACAATCACCAATCGCATCTCACGAAAAATCCACGCAACCCACGATTAGTTGCGTAAAAAAAATTATACCAAATACAAAGTAATACGCCGGGAAAGTAGCAAAACGAGTCGGAAAGAAGAGAAAGAATTTGAAAGACGAATAAATGGAGATAAAAGTATGGAGAGAAGTAAGCGACCGTTTAATTACTTATAAACGATCGACCTCGTTATCTCTCGAACCAATCTACTTACTTAGTTCGTTCGCGCGGACAATTAGCAGTCGCGCCAACAACGGCGACTGTCGCTCGTTTGTCGTCGTCGATTGTCAACTGTCCCGAAATAAATGAACGACCGTCTTGAAACAATAGCTGTTCGAAAACAATAGGGGATTTTCTGCACTTGTGACTAATGTTTTCATTATTGTTGTTAATCGCTTTGATAATCTATCTATATATAGTAGAAACCACGAGAGCTGGCAGTGACAGATCGCTTAAAAATGGTATGAATCATGATATGGACGTACGACTTAGATTATTTCACCACAAACATTTAAATGTAGGTTATGTTAGTAATGGAGGTTATATGTCAAACATTGTCAAAGATATTATTTAATGATTTTCCTTTCAAAGAAAACATTTTCGGCTTGTGAAAACACTAACAGTTTCATGACAACGCTCACAAGACGTTTCGATTTGAGGTTATAATTATAGAATGACATCCCTTAGAAGAACAGACGTACTTTTTCGACGTGGCCATTTGAATTGTACAGCAGACATATTAAACTAATGCTATCTCTTTCCAACACATATTACTCTCTAGCGGTTTGTGAACGTATGGCATTTGTAAGAGCGGAAAATGATGATTTACTGCCAGCTCTCGTGGCGTCTACTATACAGTGAATTTCAGTTAAAATGCAATACCTATACAGAAATATATTTCCATAGAAACCAGGGCGTACCTGCTTACTTTGTCCCATATAAAATGCAACATGTCTGAATGTTTCTTGTTCTAGGTCTAATGTTAGTTCTAGTGAGAGTGGTAGGTAGCGCTAGTTAACATCAGATATCACTATGTTGCACATTTTTATTGAACTAAAACTAGAACTAACACAAGACCTAGAAGTAGAATCATTCGGGTTTAGCCGTCTTGAGCGACGTGCTTATAAACCCGAACGATTCTAGTTCTAGGTCTTGTGTTAGTTCTAGTAATAAAGTTCGAAGCACGTCGCACAAGACGGCTAAACCCGAATGATTCTACTTCTAGGTCTTGTGTTAGTTCTAGTAATAGTGCTGGTATAAAACTAGAACGAACACAACATCTAAAACCAGAATCAAGGGGTGATTCTTTAATGAATTTTAAGGGTACTTTAATATATGAACCAATTCAAAACTGGCGGAAAATTTTAGTCCTTAAAAACCATAAACGCTAGGAAAATGAAATTTGTGGCATATGTTTAACTCATAATAGGGCACGTTTTGATCCTATTTGTACTTTCAACCTACGCTTCTAAATTACTAATCGTGACTACCCCTTTAAGTTTTTACTAAGATTTTTTTATGCAGATGATAAATAATTGGAATAATTTTAGTTAGATAGATAAAACTTTAAAAACAATATATAAAACAAAAAAAGATTTAGAATCTTTTTTTTGTCTCTTTGTGTTCTTCGAAAATTTAATAATTTCTAACAAAAAATTAATTAAGCAAATACTAACTGTTAAGTAGGGTTGTTAATCGAAAGTTAGAATGAATTTATATTGAAAAAATCTTAGTAGGCTTTGAAATCTTTGAAAGAGTTATCCATGTTGCAAGATTATCTCATCCCACCAACCCATCCTCTTAAAGTTTACTAATTTTTTAACATTCCACACTTTTTAACGTCGCCATTTTTAATCTTTTATCTTCATTTTGTGTATCCATCAGATAACAAAATGCTTTATTCTTTTCCCATTTCCAGTCTACACCTATTATAGCTTCATTGACTTTGTCGCTGATGATGGGGTTACCCGAAACTAGTACGACTTTATACAGGGTGTCTCAGCGAGACTGGTCATTAGACGTTTCTGGGGTTCTGGCGAAAATAAAAATTTGAGAATTCAGACTTAAGTATTATCAATTACGATCTCTTCGACTAAAATATTTTCAGATTTCTTGCACTTCAGGTTATACCGGAAGTCGCCACCTACTTTATTTTTTTAAATGGAACAGCCTGTATATTTTTACATATTTGGATTTGTCTGTTTTCAGGGTTTATAAATAACTTTACTTTTTGCAATTTGATTCGGCCGTTCTCGAGTTATTCGAATTTTTCTAGAAAAATCTGCTCCAGCAGACATTTGTTCAAAAAATCAGAAAACACTCAATTTTTGGGATATCAATTTAGGATTGAGAACATGCTTAAGCAACATGATGGAGTATGTTTTGGTGCCGAAAACTGCGGTCTAGAAGGTTTGATTACTTTACTATGGCACGTTAACTTTTCAAAATTTGGAAGTACCATAACTTCATTTTTTTAAATGGCACCTCCCATATTTTATTTTTTAGTCGTCTTCGGTGTCTCATTCTACATCTTTTATATCCCATATGGCCCATACCTAATATTAATAGTTTGGGAGATAATTAGGGTTTTTTGAAAAATGCACACATATCATATGGATATTTAGCCTAGTGTGCCATGAAAAACAAGCCTTCTCAATGAGTTCTTGTCAAAGACTCACTTGTTTACGTCACTTGATGCATGTGAGCTAATAATTATCTGTTATGTCCCTTAATATTAGTACTGAAACGAGTTAAAATCGATAACAATAACGAAAGTAATATTTACACAAATCAAGAAATTCTTAATTTATTTTTTTTGCATGAAAAGCGCGACAAAGTTCGTAGCATGATTCCCAGATCTTCTTTGGCAGCTCGAATTGAGGTGTTGGGACTGGGCTCGAAATAAGCCAAGGTATTCACCTCTTCCGTTGCATTATCTACTACATTTTTTGGTCAGTTTAACACGTGATTAATTCGTCCAAAATGCAAAAATTTGCTTCTATTCTTCTAAATTTACCTTTTGTCATCGGAGATAAATGTGGATAATTTTCATTAAACATTCTGCAAGTTCTACTAAGAACTTTGTCGCACTTTTCGTGCACAAAAAATAAATTGTGAATTTCTTCATTTGTATAAACATTATTTACGTTATTAATATCCATTTTAACTGGTTTTAGACTCACAAGCATCAAACAACGTAAATCAGACTTTGACGTTTGTCAATAAGTCATTAAACATTTGTTTTCCATGGCACACTAGGTTAATATCGATATGATATGTGAGCATTTTTCAAAAAACCCTAATTTTTTCTCAAACTATTAATGTTAGGTATAGGACATATGGAGTATAAAAGATGTAAAATGGGACGCCAAAGACGACTAAGTAATAAAATATGGGGGGTGCCATTTAAAAAAATTAAGTTATGGTGCTTCCAAATTTCGAAAAGTTAACGTGTCATAGTAAAGTGACCAAACGATCTAGACAGCCGTTCTTAGCACCAAAACATACTCTATCATGTTGCTTAAGCATGTTCTCAATCCTAAATTGATATCCCAAAAATCGAGTGATCTCTGATTTTTTGAACAAATGTCCGCTGGAGCAGATTTTTCTAGAAAAATTCGATTAACTCGAGAACGGCCGAATCAAATTGCAAAAAGTAAAGTTATTTATAAACCTTCAAAACAGACAAATCCAAATATGTAAAAATATATAGGGTGTTCCATTTAAAAAAATAAAGTAGGTGGCGATTTCCGGTATAACCGGAAGTGCTAGAAATCTGAAAATATTTTAGACGAAGAGAACGTAATTGATAATACTTAAGTCTGAATTCTCAATTTTTTATTTTGGCCAGAACCACAGAAACGTCTAATGACCGGTCTCGCTGAGACACCCTGTATAAATAAATGCAAGTTAGAAGTATTTATACGGTTTTTATTTGAAATCTTTGTCAGAACTATTTTTGACCTTTAAATGTCAGTGTTTTTCTTACTATAATTATTACTTTTCAAATTAATTTTTGAATAAAGTTCTAACGTATTTACACTTGTTCACTCGACGCCGACGTTTCAAAATTTTAAATAAAACAACAATAATAGTAAGAAAAACACTGACGTTTAAATGTCAAAAATAATTGTGAAAAAAATTGTAAAGCCTACTAAGATTTTTTCATTAAAAATTAATTCCAACTTTCGATTAACAACCCTATAACTTAACAGTCAACATGTTTGTAACATCAAAGAGATAAAAAGTTTTAGAATAGTTTTATCTATCTGATATTTTTCCAATGTATTTATCATTTTTATACAAAAAATCTAGGTATAGATTGAACGGGGGGTGGTTACGTTTAGTAGTTTAGAACGGTAGGTTGAAAGTAGAAATAGGGTCAAAACGTACAATATTATGAGTTAAACATATTTCCCAAATTTCATATTCCTAGTGTTCATATATTGAAGTACCTTTAAAATTCACTAAAGAATCACCCCTTGAAGTTTGTGGGAGTCATTCAGATACACCCTGTATAATAAACTGTTATTTAAAATTTTCCAAAAAATACGGGTGTGCCAGCAAAGCTTTTAAGATCATTTACTGATCTAAACTATTTTTGGATATGAAAAAATAAATTAACTCACCTGCTGGACATTCACAGCCGTATGAATATTTATCCTTTTTCCGACACTTTCCATCGTTCAAACACGGACTGGGATCACATGGAATATATTCTGTTTCACAGTCTTTTCCAGTATATCCCTCATTACATGTACACCTAGAAAAAGAAGAAAGATAAACAATAATAAAATAGATATATATCATATTAATCAAGTTATAAGTTTCTTTGAGCAACAAAAAGGATAATGATTAAAAGTGAAATTGCCTTTAATTCAAAGAATACCTGGTATAGTAATAGTGAATGCATACAATAAAACGAGTAAATGAAATTAAACTCGAAAACACTTGTTTATTTATTGATAAATGAAAACTTGCTATAAATGCTATTGATTTAGAAAAAAAATAACGAAAAATGTCGATTCCTTTTGAAGATAAGAGAGGGAAACCAATAAAATGCCCGGGGGGACATAGCGGTCGTGTTCTTCGGCTGTAGATGGCCGGCACAGATGGTCTTTATAAGAGAGTTAAATTATTATTTGCCCCCGATGGAAGAGAGCTCGGTTCTAATCTGGCCTATGCATCTCTTGAGAGACCGTGGTTCGCATACACGGACGACCGGAAAGAATCTTTTTCCTCTTTCCCCCCTCCGCCGTGTCGCCCGACCCCCCTTTTTTATTTTCATCGTGGTGGTTTCGTTCCCCTTTTTTCCGATTCCTTTTCACCTACGACGACCACAACGGACGATTTCTAACCTTTTCACTGACATTCAATTGTATTCCAACGAATATAACTGTCTCACTTCTTCCACGTTCACTTGTAATCCTTTTTATAAAAATTAAATATTTACTAATTTTTCATTAATACGATTCAGCTGAAGATGACGATTAATCGTCGAATCAAGTATCAAAAATGTGTATACTAAAAATAATTACATTTCCTTTCAGCTTTGAATGAGAAAAAGTCTTTGTTGTTGCCAATTTTGGTAAAAATTTTCAGAGCGAGTGTCGCCTGGAAATATGTGCCGGCAGAATGGACTAAGGTACGGGTATCTTACATACCCAAAGCGGGCCGTTCGGTCCCTACTTCTAATGCCTTTCGACCCATCAGCCTAACGTCATTTCTGCTGAAAACCCTTGAAAAAGTTCTGGAACGGTATATCCGTACGGTGCCATTGGTATCTGGTCCACTGAGTCGCCACCAGTATGCTTATCAAGCGGGAAAATCAGCAGAATTGGCTCTACACAACTTAGTTGGTAGAGTATCCAGGACGCTGCAGGATAAAGAAATCTTGGTTTGTGCGTTTCTGGATATAGAGGGAGCGTTCAACAACGCAATACCACAATCTCTTGAAAGAGCTGCTCTTGACAGGGGAGTGGAAGCAACTATAGCGGGTTGGATCCGCAATATGCTAGATAGTAGAATAGTTTCTACTTCACTCCACGGTGATACGATACGCTTCAGGCCGGGAGGTGGCTGCCCGCAGGGAGGGGTGTTATCTCCCCTGATTTGGTCCCTCCTAGTTGACGATCTGATTGCGATAGTCGAAGCCGTTGGTGTGGAAATACAAGCTTATGCTGATGACATTGTCGTTATGGTCAAAGGAACCTGTTTGCCGAGGATATCCAAAGTCCTCCAGGTGACCCTAGATACCATTTGCGCTTGGTGTAAGGGAGAGAACCTCTCAATAAACCCGCAAAAGACAATTGTTGTGCCCTCCACCAGGAAGCGAAAGTTGGATGGACTAATCCGCCCAACTATCCAAGGTGAAGAAATTCCTTTCTCAAAGGAAGTCAAATATCTAGGAGTAATCCTAGACAAAACCCTGTCATGGAATGGATATTTGCAGGGAGTTTTGCACAAAGCTAGACTATCCTTGTGGACTTGTCGCAGTCTTTGTGGAAAAAATTGGGGTCTTACCCCTGAAAGACTGTACTGGCTCTATGTGACTGTGGTTAGACCTATGAGCACATACGGAGCAGCAGCCTGGTATAGGAAAGTCCGACAGACTTCAGTTATCAGTAAACTTTCACGAATTCAACGAGTAGCTGGATTGGCAATCTCTGGTGCGATAGGCACAACGCCAACTCTAGCAATCGAGGTTCTGCTTGGCCTATCTCCTCTGCATTTGCATATAGAGAAAGTGGCTAGAACAACCATTTACAGATTTAAGCAATATGCTCAAAACTGTTCCGACATGTCCTAGCAATGGGCTGCGGAAGACATTATAAGCACTGATACTGTGCTATCAATGCCGTCAGATTTGGCGGTATCACTATCAGTGATTAATGCTCGATACCAGATTGTACTGCCTGACCGGTAGTCCTGGATCGAAAATGAAAATTCTCTGGTTCGGGCAGACATTTGCTTGTACACAGATGGATCAAAAACGCCTGAAGGGGTAGGAGCAGGAGTATACTGCCAGACACCTCGAATTAAGCAAGCCTACAGCCTGGGTACGTACTGTACTGTATTCCAGGCGGAAGTATTTGCTATTGACATGGGTACTAAAATCCTTCTTGAAAGAGGGGTGAAGAACATGACAGTACGAATTTTCTCAGACAGTCAAGCCGCTCTCCAGGCGCTGCAAGCCGTGAAAACGGTGTCGGCTCTGGTTAATGATTGTAAGAGAACATTAAACACACTGAGTTGTGATAACAGAGTCTCTCTGATCTGGGTCCCGGGTCACTCTGGGGTTGCTGGCAATGAAGCGGCAGATAAGCTAGCACGAGATGGCAGCGCTGAAGCGTTTATGGGACCGGAACCAGCAGTTGGTGTATCATTTGCGATGGCCAAATATAGGATTGGACTGTGGGCTGAAGAGAGACTTCGCCTACTGGACCAGTTCTCCTGGAATGAGACATGCTAAGGTGTTTATTAACATCGCCACTGTCAAACCCGGGAATATTTTTAGGACTTGCCCGTAGTAGCATAACAGTTCTAATGGGTGTTTTTACTGGGCACTGCCGATTAAAAGCACACCTCAACTTGTTGGGTTTAGCCGACGATGTTGAATGCCGACTATGTGCGGAGGAAGCAGAGACGGGTGAGCATGTTTTATGCCACTGCCCTGCCGTTAACCGTATCAGATTCTCGATTTTTGGGTCGCAGTTTATCTCCTCAAAAGATCTGAATGACCTTTCGCCGAGCAAGGTATTAATGTTCGTTAAGAGCATTGGACTGCACGGTGAAATTTGATAACGATATCTATCGGGGTACAATAGATCCTTAGGGTCGCGGTGTAAGGTTGGTTGGTCCGCCTACCCGATATGTATTCTATGTAATGTAATGTAATGTAATGAATGAGAAAACATTAATTAGCATTACAATTCAATTCTGATTTAGGGTGATTTCGATGCACAACGGCAACACCAATAAGACGTTTTACTCCTAATGTTGTTCATTCTCCACCTCTTTCGTACCATTGTCGTTTTCCCCAGGTACAATCAACGCACCGACGCCGACGTCGGGTGGGTGGTACGTGACCGGGCCGCTAACGAGAAGGCCCCTTTCGTGTAAAATTTTTCGCTCCTCGCCCTGCGGTCGTCGCGTCGTATTTACGGCCCCAGGAGACAATAATAACGAAGGCTCCGGTCACGATTCTTTGGTGGCCGTTGTCGGCTTTGTTTAAATACGAGCCTGGGTTACTATAGGTATACAAAAGGTCCGTAATACGGTCCACCACGGTTTCAACTTTAGCAAGTTGAAAACAAACCAACAAAAAATAATGAGATCGTTTTAACGTTAATAAATTTAATGTGGGGTGAACTTATTTTAAAGGCAAAATAAATAGTTATAATTAAATTGATTTAAATGTACATTCTTCTCAAACTGTTTTTAATAATAATACAATTGGATTTCCTTTTTTAAATCGTTTCAATGGATACAGAAGAAGCAGTTACGGTAGCAGCACGATGTCGTGGAATTATTGGGATTCTTTCTGTACAAAGGGACAAAACCACCGTTTGCGGACAGTCACGTGCACATCACAGCACCGCCGGGCTGTGCTACTACTCTTAAAGGCGAAACGGGCCCCCCTATTGTCCGGCCGTAATTAATGCGGATCGTTTTCGAAGAGATCGTCGTTGTCCCAAAGGAATAGAAGAATTCCCGCTTGAGTTTCAGTTAGTTAATTTCCCAAAAAAGGGTTTCTACAAAATAAGCAAACTTAAAATGTACTTGAAAACGAGTACTTTATTCATTTTGTTAAGTGGAATCACTTGAAAATTATTTTCTTGCCAGTGGGAAAATAATTTTAAGCTTAAACAGCTTTCAAAATAATCTTAACGTTTATTGAATTCAGAAAAAAATATAAATAAAAGATAACAGAACTTGAAGTATCATGGGAAACAATTTTTAACAATTTAATAATTAAAAAGAAAAACTGTTATTTCTTTTTTTTCCAATTCTCTTTTCTTTGTTCGTTGATTGTTAATCGAATGTCGTAACACTCGTTACTGTTGTTGCATATTAATTAATCGGTGTGGGACATGGATAAAATAATGCCCCCGAGGAAGGACGTCGTTGGACCTTTACTTCATTTAGTAAACAGGCGGTGTTACATTTCTTTTGTAAAGCTAGCGAACCGGAACTGAATATTATTTTTTTTCTGAATAAATGGGATTAATTAATTGCATATATCAATGGTTCTCATGTAAATCAAGATAAATTGAAACTCATTCTTAGGAAAACAACATTTAGTAATTATACAGGGTGTCACACAAAAAACGCCCCAAGCTGTAACTCTGTCATTTATATTCCGATTTTCATGACCGAGGCATCAAATGAAATGGTTTGATGAATACTATGGTTCATGCTACAAATAAATTTTTTTCAAGGCCATCTTCAATTTTAAGCGATTATTAACTTTTGTTTTTCAAATTGCTCCATATATTTTTCTTCACGTCATTAGATAGAGATTGTTTTTCTGAATCCACTGATGTGCAATACATCCACTTTGAATGTAATTTTAGCAGAAAAAAGACACCTGTATATACAGGTTGTCGCACAAGAACGCCGTAAGCTGTAACTCTGTCATTTAACTTCCGATTTTTATGAACGAGGTATCAAATGAAATGGTTTGATGAATGCTATGATTCATGCTACAAATAAACTTTTTCCAACGCCATCTTCGATTTCAAGCGATTATCAACTTTTGAT